CGTCGCATCATCCAGGTGGATGCTGCACATTGGTGGTGGTGGAGGGGAGTTCCCATTACCTGTAAAGCGCTTTGAGTGGAGTGTCCAGAAAAGCGCTATATAAGTGTAAGCAATTATTATTATTATTATTAATTATTTGCAAACCCACACAAAGTATTTTACTCCTGCTGATTCACTATGATCTGCACCTAAAGTTGCACAGATTTTGAGTATAAGTGTCCACCGCTGTTCTTACACCATATACCTCATGTATTATCATACATAGTGCATGGTTATACATAGTCATACATAGTGCATGAAGGCCCTATTACATCACGAGCGGACTGTAAAACCAAAAGGATTAGCTCACCAGGCAGGGGAAAAGCTGCAGTACAGTGCACTATACATTAAAGCCACGAGGGGGAGTACTTGTCCAATAATGTCACCAAAAATACGAGGTTTCTATCAAGAAGAGGGAAGAGTGAAAGCTGATCTATCAATACTGCATAAACCGTAAATTAGAATAGAATAAAACATATATTGTTGTTATACTATCTTGTCATTGGTATATATAAGATATAATAATACTTTACTGTCTATTTGATCAGAAATTCATTTAGCATCAACACAGCTATGTTTTCCACATGTAGTAACCTTAAAAAAAAACATAGCAACAGCACAAACACACATTACATTTTGTATATACTCAGGATGTAGATGCGTAGGTGTTGACCTTAACCTAGAGGAGCCACTGGTGTGAGGTATGAGGCATAGATGTATAGGCAGTTGTAAGCAAATGAACTACATGTTTTTTACACTGATCACTCTAGCAGTTCTCAGCATGAGGCTCGAAACCGTGGGAGATGGTTCTGCTGCTCCAAGACTGTGGAATGATCTGGCAAGTCATTCAGCACTTTCAAATGCTATATATTTATATCAGGATCTTATATATATATAACTCACTTTCATGGGGTTTTCATAACCTTTTAATAATAATAATAATAATAATAATAATAATAACATCACTTTATTAACCCTATACAATTTCTTGCATGAGGAATTTGTCTTCTCACATACCCCAGCTTGCTCTCCATGAGACACACAGACAGGGAGAGAGCCTGGGGTCAGAGCGCAGGGTCAGCCCTTGTACAGCGCCCCTGGAGCAGTTGGGATTAAGGGCCTTGCTCAAGGGCCCAACAGAGTAGGATTCCTCTGTGGGCTGCAGGATACAAACCGGCAACCTTCCAGCCACAGGCGCAGATCCTTAGCCACAGAGCCACCGGTTCACCACAAGTTTTAGTTCCATTCAGTTTACTGCATGAATCTGGAAACAGTGTCTTAACGTGATAAAGCCTACGTGCACACCACGGTTCACAGGGCTCCTGTAATATCCAGTGGTCTTTAGTTCTGTTGCTTTTTTATTTTCACACTAGGTTACAGCACCTGTCTCCTCTTCAGATCGGCTGTGCTTTCCTTGTGTTTCCTGATGGAAGAGCTCCCCATTCCCCAGGGAGGCTGATATCTTGCACCTCAGGAAAGGCATTTGGCAATGACTATACAGATGAGAAACACGTTCCAATATCCCACGGGCTGGGACACAGTGAACACCAGGTGTATTCAATTACCGTTTCCCTAGCTGGAGTCTTTCATTTGCAATGATGTGACTATGGTAGCTGTTTACCAAGCAACAGTCTTGATATACAGTACGATTCTTTTTTTGTGTAAGATCTATGGATTGGTTCTTGTTAAACAGGAAGAAGTCTGCTTCTTCTTTGACTGACTGTCGCCACTGGTCTGATTCGCTGAAACTCGGCTCCTATTGAATCGGAGGAACAAGTCACGACTTCGGAAATGTTTCTCATACACAGTAGAGTGCTTTTCATGCTGGACATCCTAAGGTGTTACCCAATCAAAACTCAGTTATTCTAGCTCAGTGTACTGTATACTGTGGAATATAAAAGATGCATTTGATTGTATAAAGTGTAGTGCAAGGAAAATAAATCAATAAAACATATATTGTTTAATTGAGAGTATTTCAAAAAGCAATGAGTAGCAGGGATAACACTTCCTGTGCACTTCAGTTTTCTTTTAGAGCAGTACTTTAAAGTAGTACCTTTGACTGCTTTCATCAATCGGGGGGGTCTGTGTGCAGTACTGGGCACTAGGGCAAAACTGAAAGGGGTGTTTGTTTTACTGCTGCTTACAGAAGACTCAACCAGAGCTGCAGTCACTCCCCCAGTGTCACTGCTCTGGCAAAACTGGGATAACAGGCCCAGACAAGCACAGCACTGAGAGCACACAGGTGCACATCAGCAACAGCAACTGAGTGGTGATTATTATTCAACTAATAATTGATTGGTTCAATTTGCTACAGTGCTCTTCAACCTGAAGTGTTTCGGATGGAGAAGGGGGGGACCCACTCCATCCTCCACAGGGCAGCCTTTCTGCGCTGGCAGGCCCAGTGCGCAGCGGGTCAGACAGGGGAGGGAGAAACTGCTTTGTCACGGATTAAGGGGGAACCTTTGTGAGGTCAGATACAGTAGTTCAAACCACAGAGTGGAATCTAGACAGCTCTGCACCTGTGGGGTGTAACTTGAAGGTCAGATATATGTGTATGACTGCACCTCAGTACCAGGCAGCTGCTCTTACTATGAGTCAAGGGATCGACATTGTCCAAGAGGGAAGAGTCTCAGCCTGGTTTCCAAAACACAGCATGTCCTACAGCACAGTCTCTTCAGGTGCTATACTACAACATTGCTTTTTTAGAAAAAATAGGGAAGAGTGCCAGCAACAGGTCTTCCTGCATTATTTACAGCAGCAGCCCGGTATTGAGGTGCAGTCATACACGACCTTCAAGTTACACCACACAGGTGCTCTGCTTGAAAACTACCTTCAGTCTTGAAAACATATCAAACTGAATGACAACACGTCCTTCATCAGCCTACGCGGTAGGGCAATGTAATACCAGTGGTAACACGCTGTTCTGTGTGAGGCTGGAGTATTTCCACATTGAGCAACAACAGCAATTTCATTGCACACGTCTTGCTGAAAGACACAGCTTATGGTCATTGGTGCTTTTCGTCTGCTCGAGTCCTTCCTCATTTTATATCCTGTTGCATGCGTTGACGTTTCCTGTTTCGGATTTTTTTCTTGCCTTGCCGACTTGCACACAAGAGCAAAGAGATCTTGTGAAAAGACTCTTCAAAGCAGTGTGAAGGGATGTGGGTTGATGACATCACTAAAGTCACACAGCGTGGTGCAGCCCCTAAATGAATCACTACCCACCAACGCCTGTGCAGCACTGAAATTCTTCCCCTAACCACTTCCTCTCATTGTGTCTGTAAAAGACTCCCCCCCACAGTGAAGCCTAGTTAGAATACTAAGAGAGAACGTTATCAAAAGCTAAAAAGGAGATTTTCTGAGACCACATTCAGAGCCGCGTGGTAGGATACTAAAATAGTAAGGAATGAAATAGTGCAATACAAACCTTCCCTTTAAGTTTTGTCAAAGCAAACCTTCCCCTTAACCCAAATATAATCAACTACACCCTTCTGTGCATTGAGTACAAAATCATTTGTTAATACCTGAGGAGCCCAGGTGATCCAGCAGCTGAGGAAAAGGGTTATTTATCAGGAAGATCTCCCACTGACCTTGGTGTCTTCATTAAACAAATTATATAACCTCTTTGCCATTTGAGTGTGACATAAAACAGGCTTCAAAGGCTAAGGTAGCGGGGTTGGCATTCCTTAGGTCTCACCCTACACTTCGTAAGTGGTATTGGGGAAAATTATCTTTTTTTTTTTTCAATCTTAATGCTTCCTTGACAAGGGTTTCTGATGGGGGCCAGGCAGGCCTGGCAAAAATCATTCAGCCTAAAGCTCCAAAAGGCCATTTTCAAGAAAAACATTTTCTGAAGAATTGAATCTTATTAGAATTCTATTTGATTTTACAGTATATCTAATAATCTTGTTAACTGAAACATCGTGTTACAGCAGAGGATGGGATGTGGGTGTGTATGGCTGACAGTATTCTGAAAACACTGCTGAAGCAGGAAGTCTGTGTTTTCTCTCCTGCCATATCTTAAGCTGTAAGAAGTGCTGAAATTCATTCACCCAGGATACTGCACAACCTCTCCTGCTGAGCTGCAGAAATACTCTGCTTATTTCTGAATATGCAAAACTTTGAGAATGGGACCATCATCATTCTAGTCTTTGCAAAATGTACCCTGGCTAATTAAACAAATAGGAGATATTTGTTTAATTGCTTTAGATACGTCGTAACATTTCTTATATTATCCTCATAACAGTTCATCCAGAACCAGTAGCTCCCTCACATCTATTAAACTATCTAGTTTATGCTGTGCAATTTAAGAATAGGCTTTTATCTTTGCAAATTACTCAGGTGAATGGCCGCAGGTGTCTTGTTACCTGTGCGTGTGTCTAGATGTAGCAGGTTGCTCTGCGGCAGGGACGTGCAGAGCAGGGCGGCTACAGTGGCTCAAGCCCCTACCCCTTTGGGCTCATGGGCCCAAGTGCCGTTTTGTGCTTGTAGAAAAAAAGTCCAACCAGTTTCAGTTTTTTTCTCCACTTGACGATTCTGCCTCTGTATTTAGTATGGATCTCCCGTTAGTGAAAAAAAAAATGTCGGACCTAGTTGATCTCATCCGAGCACAAGTGTCCGTCTCCTGTTCGTTGTAAAAAGCGGAGAAAAAGAGAGCGATAAGCAACGAGGGCTACTACACCTGTGGGGGTCGTGTTAAACGTTTTTGAACGGTGAGAAGATACACAGATTTTTCGGAAGGACTGTACAAAAGTAACACACCAAAAAAAACCGACGTTTGCAAACCGACGAACTCGCAACGTTAGTCTGCATGGCTACTTAGCTGGCTAGATTTGAGATTTCCTTAAGAAAATTTCATAATATATTGTCTGTTAATCAAGCATAATCGGCAATTATGGACAACCATTTTTATTTTGCTAAGGTTGTGAATAATTATAATGCCTCTGAAGTCACATCCAAACTTCCTGTAAAATTAAAAAAAAAAAACAGAAATACAAACGGGCGCTGATTTGCGTCCAGGATACTCTAATGTAACAAATCCTGCCCGGCAAAGTGCTCTTTCTCCCCTTTTGAGCCACTGGCCACCAAAAAGGTCTCTTGCACGTCTCTTCTCTGCGGCGCGTCCCCGCCCTCTCCGCGCCTGCCCTGGAGGCTGACGCGTGAGCGCGCGTTCGTGTTCCCCGAACCGGTCCTTGAATTCAAACGGCGCTCGTTCCCCTCTGACTCGCGCGCGCACACGCTGGTTCTTCCTCTCCCAGGGATATCGTCTAACACGCAGACACCGGGCACAATAAGAAACGCGCTGAGCGAACAGGGCGGCCTCTCCTCCCCGATTTTGGCTTCTTCAGAGCTTAGTAACAGGGACTTAGAAACGCACCTGCGCGTAGAGGCGATGGGGCAGGAAACACGGGACAACGGGAGACTTCCAGGTGTACATGAATCCTAAAATAGACGTGTGGCGAGTGACATACGCACAAAAACATCTCATTAGTAATGAGATGGCAAATAATATGCAAAAATATGCCGCGAGGGACGTGCAGGGTGTTTTGAATTTTGCACGAACAATGTTGTGCCATGAAGAGATACTGTAGGTTGTGCACTGGAAGTTGGCTGTTGGGGGTTTCATCTTCACGTTTCGTCTTCAAACGTTTTATAGACACCTCATGCAGTGCAGCGGAGCAGACCGGTGAGACTAAAATCCGCAGAGCCCGCCGATTTTCTTACACCTCGCTGTCACATGAACTCTTTGGACGCAGAACCTGCATCCTAAAGCCCTTTTCGTTCACAGCTTTCAACTGCACGGTACAGTATGGAAGATATGCGTTGCAGGACTAGTCAGCGCCCGTCGAAGCGTTTTTCGTCGTTCCGTTCAAGTCTTGGTATAAGAGTAAATAAACTGAGTACTGTCTCTGGAGCACTTAACCCAATGGGAACGCGCGCTGGAAAACTGCATTACCCGGTGTCAGGAAGAGAGAACAAGTCAGTGTCGTCCCGATGAGATCTTGACTCCCACCAAGACTCCTGCTGAGAATCAGGGATTTTGACTGGAGATCTGCCCCTATGGAAAGGCTCGTCTTGCCTGTGGCCGTGTTGGTGAAGACCACTGAGAGGTACACTTTGTGTGTGTGTGTGCGATGCGCGAATGCCGGTGTCGTTTGCTTACGCCTACAATCGCAGCAAACCTCGCTGCGCCTGCAGCCGCACGTGGTTTCCGGCGGGGGGGTGACGGGGGGCGGCGGCAGGTCTGAGGATCACGGTCTCGGCGAGCGAGGATGGGTGAGTACACTGTTTTGCCTGATGCCTCTCTTGGAAATCCCGTTCTCATTTATGGTATTTAATCATTAATAATAATTCCCTGCACTTCTATAGCGCTCTTCGGGACACTCAGCTCAAAGCGCTTTACAGGTGATGAGGACTCCCCTCCACCACCATCACTGTGCAGCCCCTTTCTCCTTGAAAACAGAGAAAGATGAAGTCGTTTTGCCATAAACTTCAAAGAAGCTGTAAGTCTTTTAAAGTCAAGAGAAAACTGATTGTGGGTTGGTGAGGGTTGACTTCAAAGTTACCCAGCTTCTGATAAGGTGAATGACAGCTGTTTTTGTTCTCAGTTGAAAGCTTTAACATTACACGTCGGGAACACGTTGGAAGAGCTGCAGCGTAAGAATGAGAGAGGCTGTGAGGGCAAACCTTTGTCAGTTCCCAACAGGACCTGGGCTTTCACGAGCCAGGTGTAATTATCTAGGAGTCTGGATTCCTGCTCATGTCTCCAGAGACCTGATCATTCATAATGCCTAATCAGCCGCACTCATTAGAGCGTTTTTGTAACCTCAGTCTCATGTGCACATATAGGCACATGGGTTTCTCACATTCCAGTTGGTCACTGCAGTAGCGTATTCTGTTAAAGCCCTTGTAAACCCAGTAGAGTTCTCTCAAAGGTGGGCTCCGTGTGATAAAGCACTGAGAAGATGGAAAGGCACCACAGCGCTGCATAACCAGTAGCAGACTAGACCACTTTTATTGAACCGACTTGACATGGCTGAAGCAGAAGCACATGGGGAAGTGATTCTGCAATCTGAGTGCAGTGCAAGACCTGGTGAGAAGTCACTGCGCGACTGCGGGGGCGTTGTGAATTGAAGGGCCTCAGCAGCTCCCAGCAGAGCCTTCTGCAAGTCTGGCGTTTCTCGGATTTAGTCAATCGCCTAAATCTGCCATCGCTATCACCCTGGCCACCACTGCACAGAGGCAGTGTCATTCTCTCAGTTTTCATGAAGCAGAAATCGGGGAACCTCGTTATTATTTTTACTGAAACGTTGAAGGCTACCCTTTCAAGGGGAGGAGAGCTGTAAGAGCCTGGGAGCAGATCCTAGTGCAGTTTGTATCAGATCTGTCCCAGAGTCCATGGCTGCCCTCCGCTCTCCCACCTCTCACTTTTCAGGCTGTAACACATGCGCTGTACAGCTGTGTGAGGGAGAGATCCTTTTCCCCAAATCTCAAGGTATGTCACATGGCCTTTCTTCCTTCTGGTATTGAAGACAAAAGTGAGATGTTCTCTGTGTTGTAATGCTCGACCTGCCCGAGAGGGTGCAGATCCCCCACTAGACTGGCCTGTCAGAGGGTGCAGATCCCCCACTAGACTGACCTGTCAGAGGGTGCAGATCCCCCACTAGACTGACCTGTCACCTGCCCGAGAGGGTGCAGG